TTCCAGGCTACGCGATCCATCATTCAAGGATTGCGTAGTGGGACGCGTTTCGCCAAGTGCATGACTAACGCCGTCAAGACCAAGCTGACCACATGCCACCCCCACCTCTCCGAGCGCCTCTGGGTGGACGACTTATCACAGGTCGCCATCGGTTCGCGGCGGCACGTTGCGGAGGTGCTGGAGGAGGGGGTGGTGGCCACTCAGGCTCAGCTCGAACGACAGGCGCTACGGTTGGACCCCAAGAGTATCATCACGTGCACGAATGTGGAGGACGCTAAGGTCATAGTCAAGCGCCTACGACGGCGAGGCGTGGATGTACAATGGGGACGACAAACGACATACCTCGGTGTCGATCTGGGCAACGGCAAACGCATGGCTCGGCAGACACGGAGTGCGAGGATGAAGAATTCCAAGGTTCAGCATCTCAATATCAAACGCTACGCGAAGGCATCCAGGAGATTCCGTATTCTTAAGAAAATCGAGTTGGGTGGACCCCAGATGACCGCCCACTATGGGCACCAGGTCTATGGGCTCCCCAAGTCCTCGGTTGTGGAACTACGCCGGCGTCTTGGGGCTGTTGCTGGAGGGCACAAGCACGGTCGCGACCTCACGGCGCTGCTCGACCTCAGACCTCCCATGAAGGAACCTGGGTACCAGCTCCCCAAGCAGTTTCTGGAACAGTGGCTTCGCACGTGGATTGAGGAGCCACGTATTCATGCCCCAGTTGCGCGAGTTGGGCAAGGCATCGTTGATCATTTCAAAGGCACCGAGCCACAGCATCGAGCAAGGCATGTTCGAGGCCCTGTTTCTGGTCTCGTACATTACCTTATGCAAGCAGGGCGGGACCCACATGGTCCATCAGAGTGGTATCTTCCAGCAGATCGAGCAAACCCAGCAGGCGTCACCCCAGGATGGAAGTTCGACGCCAGCCAGCTCGAGTCAGTTGTGGAGGCCACCGACTTGCTCAATGATTTTTCAGATACGTTCAGACTCCAACTCTGGTCCGAGGCCTCTCGCACGTTCTGCGGAGGTGGAATTGAGGGCGGCTTGGACAACTACAGTTTGAGGAAGCAGCTGGCCCAACTTGAGGCCCTCCCTCAAGGACGACGGTTGGCTGAGATGCTCCTGGTCATCGCTGTCGGTGGTGCCTGGACGGAGTCACGGCGCAAGGAGGGAGGATATGAATGTTCGGGCCTGTGTGAGAGATGTCCAGATCAGGTTGAGGAGACCCCCTTACATCGATATTGGCAGTGCTCGTGCAATGAAGGCTCACCCATTTTCGACATGACTCAAGACCTGAGCCATCGTGCAGTGACTCAGGCCAATTTAGCAGAATGTTGTTGGTTCCGTGAGCTGATACCCGCGGAATGGACACGAGTTGATGAGCCGACACACGTGGAGAGATGGAAAGGCTTGGGACAAGACCAAGCTGACACGTTCTCTTTCGTATCTGGGACAATGGACAATCCATTCGTTCTGTTTGGTGATGCATCTGGAGGCGCAGACACACGCGATCCACGACTTCGTCGAGTTGGGTTGGCTGCTGGAGCGTTCTCATTAGATGTGAATGATGAGCGTCCATACTTGTTGGGTCCTCTTCCTGGTGACCGACAGACGGTTGCGCGAGGGGGGCTGTATATGTTGGAAGTCTCTATCCGTTGGTCCTCGGGACCAACAATATATGTGACGGACAACGAGGAGGTGTGTCGGGGGTGGTGGGCGCGAGCGTATGAAAAACCTGCTGGCGCCAATGCTGACATCTGGAGGGCTATTAAGACGCATCTTGTTCATAGGCCTTGCAGTGAGATGGTTGTCTTGAAAGTCCCCTCACATGTGGAGGCCCAGTGTATCGTCGAGCTCGGGATCCCGTCCTGGATGATTGCTGGCAATGTGTATGTGGACACCTTGGCTGGTATCGCTGCCGCCGAGGTCCGCCTCCCCGAGTGCCAGAGGGCACAGGTGCTGCGGGTTGAGAACGATGCTCGGCTTGTTCGCATGCGTTTGTTGCGAATTGCCCTTCAGACAGCTATAGGCACGGCCAAAAGGGCGCGCCCAAAAGGCTCCTGCCATTCCGCCACCCCGACCTCGAGGTCGGGCTCTTCTGTGTTCGTCGCATCAGGTAGAGAGCACGGGAAACAACAAACCAGATGTGTAAGGGTTCCGCCACTGAGGCCACTGTAAGGTCCTGGTTGGCCACTCCCTGTTCCCCTTTAGAAGTAACGACAGATAAGATCTCTACTTTGCCTGCTGGTCGGACTTTATATCTCGCTGGGGGTACGGTCCATGGTTCCCACAAGATGAGGTATCATCAATCCCAGTCTCTGTGGTTTTGTGGCAGCTGTGGGACCACAGGCCAAACTAGGTTGAGCAAGCAGTTGGCTGGCCCATGTCAGCTCATCACATCCACTGGCAGGGAGTATCTCCGTCGTTTAGAGAGAGATCTTGTGCCTAAAGTGCTCAGCAAAGCTGAGCGTGCGGCCAGGGCCTAATTCATATAGAATCGCTTCGCGACCGCTCTCATCTCATCTCATCTCCCCTCCTCCCCTCCCCCTCCCCCTCCCTCCCCTCCCTCCCTCCCTCCCTCCCCCTCCCTCCCCCTCCCTCACCCTCCTCCCCCTTCCCCCCCCAGCCCTTCCTCGGGCAGGCCTCTGGCGCCCGACGCCTGCCCTCGGGCTGCTTGTCCGCCCTGCAGGCAGGCTCCTCCGCGGTTGTCTCAAGGCGGTTGACTTCATCGGATCATCGGCGCTGCTCTCTCTCTCTCCTCCTCCTCCTCCTCCTCCTCCTCCTCCTCCTCCTCCTCCCCCTCCTCCTCCTCCTCCTCCTCCTCCTCCTCTCCTCCTCCTCCTCCTCCTCCTCCTCCTCCTCCTCCTCCTCCTCCTCCTCCTCTCCTCCTCCTCCTCCTCCTCCTCCCCTCCCCTCCTCCCACTCCTCCGTCCTCCTCTTCCTTCCCCTCCTCCTTCCCCTCCTCCTCCTCCTCCTCCTCCTCCTCCCTCCCTCCTCCTCCTCCTCCTCCTCCTCCTCCTCCCTCCTCCTCCTCCTCCTCCTCCTCCTCCTCCCTCCCTCCTCCTCCTCCTCCTCCTCCTCCTCTCCTCCTCCTCCTCTCCTCCTCCTCTCCTCCTCCTCCTCCTCCTCCTCGCCTCCTCCTCCTCCTCCTCGCCCTCCTCCTCCTCCTCCTCCTCCTCCTCCTCCTCGTTGGGCTTCGGTGGCGTCTCGACGAGGAACAAAACAGCATAAACATATGCTTTGGGCGCTCCGCGTGGACTTTTTGGATCCGCGCTGGGCCCCCCGGCGGCCCCTCTGGCGCCGCCCCTGGCGCGCTCGGGGGGGGCCCAGCGCGGATCCGAGAAGTCCGCGCGGACCGTCGAACGCCTACGTTTGAACCGTTGTTTTGTTCCTCTACTATTCCCCCCCCCCCGACTCTGCACGGCGGGGCTGGACTTAAACGGTGTGTGTTGGTGATTTCGTGGGCCGTTTTCGTTTCGACTTCGTTTTGCGGTTAAGGCTGACTCGAGACAATCGCGAGGGAAAGCGACACCATAACGAGAACGAAAAACACCGTTTGGGTTCAGCCCTGCTGCACGGCCCACTCCTCCCGCCTGCCCAGGGGCAGCGGCAAAGGGGGGGCCCTGGCCCCATGAGGGGAAGGGGAGGACACATCGACCCCCCGCCAATCGCCCATGCCTCGCCGATCGGGGCTTGGGCCCCTCCCTCCTCCTCCTCCTCCTCCTTCTCCTCCTCCTCCTCCTCCTCCTCCTCCTCCTCCTCCTCCTCCTCCTCCTCCTCCTCCTCCTCCTCCTCCCCTCCCCTACCCGCGGGTTCGCAGTCGGGTGCGCATCTCTGGTTGACCCAAAGTGGGGTCCAGCGAAAAGGGGGTGGTGCAATACAGTCGGCCCGGATTAGTAGGTCGACCCTGCCAAATCAAGGGTGCCCTTGCGTCCTGTGTCTCGCGACCCATGCCTCCTGCATTCCTTCGGCCATGTGGCCCTCGGAAGGGTCTGTTGTCCTCTCGCGTGTCCTGTCCAATGAAGTCCGACTGTAGATCTAGTGCGATAGATTTATGGGGTTGCAGTACATGTGGCTCGTGCAGCATATTGGGGTGCGCAAATGTTTGACTGACTTAACCTTCGCGTGCAATGCAACTCACTGGCGCAATGCACTTGCAACACAATCGCCCCAAATCTGCTGCACCACCCCCTTCCAGCTGGACACCCTTTCGGGACAACCAAATTTTCTCAAGGGGAGGGAACATCCGGACCCGATAATTGGGGTTTACTAAGCGGCCCTGGGCGTTTATTCAACTGCCCTGCCCTGTTCGATTCCTCCGGTGGGTGCGTCTGCTAAGGCTGCGCGTGTCGGGGTGATTCTGATGGGGCTGGATTTTCTGCCCTCTATTGTCGCCGACCCAGGCGTCCGCCGATCTTTTTTGTTCCGTGCCCGGCTCAGAGGCGCCGACCCCTTCCCAGGGTCAGTTTGTTTCACCCTGGAGCCATGCTTGATGCTCTCGGAGCCCGACAGCGGGGATCGAACAACCCAGATCGTCGGAGAACTACGCTGTCGGCGATGTAGCCGCACGAGGTCTTTAAATGCTCCCCCCCAAGCTCTCGGCTGGGGAAACAACTTGTCCTGCTCCTCCGAGTCCCTCCCCTCCTCGTCCTCCTCCTCGCTCTCCCTCCTCGCTGTTCCTCCTCGCTATCCCCATCCTCGCCCTTCCCCATCGTCCTCCCCCTCCTCGTCCTTCCCCTCCTCGCCCTCCTCGTTCTCTCTCCTCGCCCCCCCCCTCGTGCTCCCCTGTGCTCGCCCCCCTGAGCCAGTTGAGCCAGTTCCACCCCTCTCGTCAGGAGGGAAAATACACACAGACACAATTAATCGTCGATTCCCCCCGAAATATGGGAAAATGTGGGGAGTCCTATTCTCTGTGTCTATTTCTTTGCGTGTGCCAGGGCCCCCTCCGCTCGTTCCCCTCGCCCTCGGCCTCTGCACAGCCGCCGCGGCGCGCGGAGGACTGCAACCTGTTCCAGTTCCGCCCGCCGTGCGACTTCGGCGCCTGCGGGTCGGTCAAGCTATGGCACTCGTCCAGGAGGCAGGTGATCTGCGGTCTGGACCGCGGCCGCTTCTTCACGCTGTCTGTGGTCTCATGCTAGTTCCTTCTCTCCCTCCTCCTCCTCCTCCTCCTCCTCCTCCTTTTCCTCCTCATCCTCATCCTTGTCCTCCTCCTGAAGCATCTCCCCCTTCTCCTCCTCTTCCTGCTCCTCGTCGTCCTCCTCCTCCTCCTCCTCTTTCCCCTCCTCCTCCTCCTCCTCCTCCTCCTCCTCCTCCTCCTCCTCCTCCTCCTCCTCCTTTCCCCACAGAGCGGAGGACGAGCATGTACCGAGACCGGTATTACCCGTACGTCGTGCTCGCCATCCTGGGCTTCGCGGGTGGCCGTTTGTCGCCACCGCGGGGGGTTCGCCTCCAGAGGCTGGTCTCGGAGCGCCCCCCTGGGAGAGGTCCGTGGAGCAGCGGCACCGAATTGTTGGGCCCCCTCCTCCTCCTCATCCTCCTCCTCCTCTTCCTCCTCCTCCTCCTCCTCCTCCTCCCCCTCCTCCTCCTCCTCCCCCTCCTCCTCCTCCTCCTCCCCAGGCCCCCCGCGAAGCGGTGTGCATCGTGTGCCCCTTCTCCCCGCCGCCCGCGGCAGCCCCCCCGCCCGCCACGGCCATGGACGGCGGGGGCGCCCTAGAGGAGGTGGGTTCTAGGCCTCCTAGATGGGGTCGGAGCAGACTGGGTCGGAGGATCGTTCCGCATCGCCGATGCATCGCCGATTCGACTCGATGTGCAGCCCGATTTGCTTCACGTCGACGTCGCCGATGCATTGCCGACGTCGCCGGTGCATCGCCGGAGCATCGCCGGTGCATCGCCGATGCATCGCCGATGCATCGCCGGTGCATCGCCGAGGCCTCTAGGGGTCGACTAGGCGTAAGAGTGACCTTTCGCCGGAGTGACCTTTGGTGCGGGCGCAGATGGGTCTCCAAGTGGCCGAAGACGAGGCAGTAGCAGCTGCTTGCGCGCCCAGGTTTGGTCCCCCCGCGACCCCCAAAAAGCCGCGCACCAAGTGTCACTCTTACCCAGGGTCACTCCTGCGTGTAGCCGAGGTGGGGGGGGGGGGAAGGCGGAAGAGGAGACGGGGGAGAGGGAAGTCAGCCAGGTCGAGCGTGTCCGCGGGCCGCCACCCACTTCTGCCCTCCATCCCGCAACATCGTAACGATGTGTGCCACAATTTGAAACCGGGACGAAGACGCGCTCCCCCCTCAAACTGCGGGAATTAGGGGAACGAGAAGTGACAACAAGATAAAAATTCGGAGGTCCGCGCGGATTTCTCTGATCGGCGCTGGACCCCCCTCCTTGGCGCGCGGAGCGCGCCAGGGGCGGCGCCGGAGGCGCCGCCGGGGGACCTCCGAGTTGTATGTTTATGTCACTTGTCGTTCCCCCAGGAGTGCACGATGGCGGCGTGTGGCGACGACACTCGTCCGCGACAGCTCGGTTGAGCGGCCCGGCCCAGCAGTTGTGAGCGCCGCGCGGGCTGCAAGGTCGTCCGCGCTCGGAGTTGGAGGCGGCGGCGGGCGACAGGCGAGGGGAACGATAGACAGGCAGAGTGAGCAGGAGGGGGTTGTGGAATCTCCATGGCCATCGGGTCCAAAAGGAGGAGGGCGGATGAGGAGGAGAAGGAAGAGGATGACGAGGATGGGACTTCAGCCCCCACCCAGAGAGATCCGACGTATTGACTTTTCCAGTGGGGTGTCCGCCAAAGTCCCGACCCTTTCCTTGGGACTGTTGTTGCAGCCCGAGCCGTTTTCCGACTGCCCAGTGCCTGGCGAGGGCGCCCTGGGGTGAACCTCTACATGGGGAATATTCAAACATAGCCAACAAGTCGTATGGGTACGATGCTTGAATACGTTTGACTTTTTTGAATGTGTTTGAATGCGCTTGAATACGTTTCTGAATTACGGATGTTTCTGCTGTCTGTTGCTGCTTGCCCTCGCCATGCCAACTTGTGGAATACGCTTTTATATCACGGATCGTATGTTGCCCACTTTTTGAGTACGTTTGAATATGTTCCATTTGTCCCCCCCAGTCCGCCCGCATGGGGGACACGCCTGGTCCAACCTTGTGGCCGAACACTGCAAAACAGCGCATCCGCTCTGAGCTTATGCAGGTGCTGGGCTCGGCGGCGAGCCAGGGGGGGGGAGGCGAGAAGCGGCGGCCTTCCCAGACGGCTCGGAAGTCCCCCCGGCCTCCCGAGACGTGTGTCCTAAGCCTTCCCCGAAGACAGAACAAACAGTTCTCAGAAGGCGCGAGGGCTTTCGGGAAGTCCCGCCGCCTTCTGAGAAGGCCTTCTCCTTCTCACTTCCCCGCCCTCGCTCGCCGCCGACTGGACGCCTCTGGCGTCGTGCTTGCGTCTCGCAACACGCGGTGGGCCTTCCGAGCCCTCGACTCTCCCCTCCCTTCCCGGCGGGACGGCGCTCTCCTCCCGAGCCGTTTTTGTCCTCGGGGCCCTTGTCTGGACGGCGAGGCCTCCTCCTCCTCCTCCTCCTCCTCCTCCTCCTCCTCCTCTTCCCCCTTCCCCTGCCACTCCCCCCCTTCCCCCTTCCCCCTCCCCCCTCTCCCACTCCCCCTCCCGCTCCCCCTCCTCCTCCTCCTCCTCCTCCTCCTCCTCCTCCTCCTCCTCCTCCTCCTCCTCCTCCTCCTCCTCCTCCTCCTCCTCCTCCTCCTCGCTCCGTAGCCATTTTGGCTCAAGGTTGCGGGCCCCTGTTTCGCAGGTTTCGTGTTTCCGAGATGGTACCGGTGTCCTCGAGCGCTGGGATGGGGAGCAGCAAGGCGCTTGCTTTCCAGGCAGTGCTCGAGGCGATCGAGGCGGTGAAGATCCGGAGAAGTGGCTCTTCCGAGTGGCGGTCGAGACGGCGAGCCGCGAGGCCATCTCGGCCCAGCCCGCGGCTTCGGACGCTGGCTGTCCTGCCTGCGGGGTCCTCGCCACGTTCGAAGGGGTGCTGGACGAAGCTGGTCAGTCCCTCGGCCTGGAGCGGAAGGCCACGGGCGAGGACGTCAGGAAGCTCCTCGTGCAGGCTGGCCAGAAGTCTTTGGCCAAGGAGTGGGTCGACTTCCGTGCAGGGCGCCGCGCCTGTGGACACCCGTCCTCAGGGGTCGCGGAGCGGGTCATCAGGGCGATCAGCACCCTGGACAAGTCTGGAGTCGACCTCAAGGAGATGGGGCCCAAGGAGGAGGAGTTCGTGCAGGACGGTGAGGAGATGATTTTGGAGTGTGGCGTCACCGAGGCGTCAACGGAAAGCGGGTCGGACATGGTGTCACAGAGCTTGGAGAACTTCGACATGAATGTTGAGGTTGTGGATTCCGCCTCCACTGTCAAGCTAGGCGAGCTGGAGCACTCGCCCGTCCAGGCCCGCTCGGTTGTGAAGGAAAAGAAGAAGAAGGTCAAGAAGAAGCTCCCGCCTGACTCCTGCGCCGACGTCCTCCCCACCTTGGCCTCGGTGGATATCAAGACGCGGTCGGTTCCTGCTGGCCTGGACTCGTTCGACATCTCGGACCCGCTGATGCTGGTCCCTGTGTGCGAGATGCCACCTTCCACGCCAGTGGACTACGCGTCGTTCGACATCTCGGACACGCAGATCAAGGGCTCGAACAGTAGCGACAGAGACGTTCAGGTCCTGGAGAACACTCGTTCCTACACGGGGGCGAACGACTCCCAGAAGCCTGGGGAGGTGCTGAAGGACGCTGAGGGGCAGGTCGTGAAGCTGGACGCGATAGAGCCTGGTCGTCCGCAGGGCCTCGTGGCTGCAATCCTCGCTCAGTATGGCGGCAGCCTCCCCCAGGAGCAGATGACGAAGTATGTCAGCGAGGCCTTCCTTCATCAAGCCAGGCTCGGCAAGGTTGGCACTCGCTGATCACCACGGCTGCGACCTCAAGGAGGCCGATGTGCAGCGGTGGGAGTACAACCGATGAGCCTGCGGCCAGTCGGTGCGGGGTCCGCGGGTAGTCGTGCTGCTGTGGACCCCTTTGCCCCTTGGGGGCGGCGCGTGGTGCGAAGATAACTGCGCGTCCCGTGGGGGCTGTCCTGGCGCCGTGGGGCGCCGCAAGCACTGTTTGGTGGCCCCTGGATGCGAAGGCTCGTGCTCCTTCGGCGTCCTGGGCTCCCGATCGGATCGTCCTGGCGCGAGGCTCGTGCTCCTCGCGGCCAGGGCTGAGGATGGACGGGACACGGGTCCCCAGTGGCGATCTCCTGGCGATCTCCTCCTCCTCGCTTCCAGGAGCCGAGCAGGGCCCAAAACATTCCGTCTCTACGCCTGGTGCTGCAGGCCCCCGCCCCCCCCCCGGCGCGAGCGGCACGGCCCCCCGCAGGAGACGCTGTCGCGCGGCGAGGGCGCGCAGGCGGCGATGGCGGCCGGGGCGCACCTGAGCCTGGCGGACCTGGCCACGTGCAGGGACCTGGCCGGGGGGGACGGCGAGGCGCGGTTCCCCGCGCCTTTCTGCGCTTCGGCGTCGTGGCATGCCACTCTTGGGCCGTCTCGGAGCTCTCTTAAGGGGCCGTCTTGGAGGCGACTTGGGCCATTCGTGGGGCCCTCTTGGGGGCCTCTTGGGGGCCGTCTTGAGCCGTCGGGATGCCGAGAAGAAGCAAATTCCAACATCTTTTAAACAACATAAGAAAATCAATGATTTTGGCTTCTTCGGGCCCTCCTGGAGGACCTCTTGGAGGACCTCTTGGGCCGGCTGGGAGGCCTCTGGGGGCCTCTTGGGCCGTCTTGGGCCGTCTTGGACTCTCTTGGGCCGACTTGGAGGCCATCGTGGCCATCTTGGAGGCATCTTGATGGTCATGTTGGACCATCCTGGAGGCCATCTTGGGCCAACGTGGCCATCTTGGCGCCATCGTGAGCCATCTTGGAGGATTTGTTTCTGGATTGAGCGCCTTTCCGGGTGGCCGGCGGGACGGGCCGAAGCCCCAGGGGGAGTTCTTCTGGAAAAAGAACCAAAACCAAACCCATATAGCTCGGCACGCCAGGCACCCCTGTTGCAAGCAACAGGGGGCGGCGGATCGAAGACGCCTACGGCGAATCACCGCCGCCCCCTGCCTTTGTGGAAGCGCCTATGTGGCCGAACGTTGAGGCCAGACCTGCCAAGCCATCGGACCATGTGTTCCCCGAATCGGTTTGGAGAGCCTTTGGGGAACACGTTGGCATCTTGAAAGTCATCTTGGCCACCTGGAGGCCATTTTGATCCTTTCGGGCCTTCTTGGAGGACGTTTTGGATGGCTCTTAGGCCGTCCTGGAAGCCATCTTGCGCGTCTTGGTCTTGGGCCGTCTTAGGGGGGGCCGTCGTGGGTCTCTTGGGCGATCTTTGGGTGCACTTGGGCCATCTTGGGCCGTCGGAAGGCAGAACAAAAGCAAATGCCACAATCCTTCAAAAACTCATGGGATCAATGATTTTGACTTTTTCGGCTCTTCCTGGAGGCCCTCTTGGAAGCCTCTTGGGCCGTCTTGGGCCATCTTAGGGCCATCTTCGGTCGTTTTGGTGGGCTCCTGGCCCGTCCGACGCCGTCGGGAGCCGTTTGGGGGGCTCCTCTGGGCCGACTTGGGGTCCTCTTGGAATGCTTCAGGGCCGTCTTGGAGGCTATCTTGGGCGTCTTCAAAGCCTCCTGGGCTGTCTTGGGGGCCTCTTGGGCCGTTCTGGGGCCATCTTGGAGGCCTCTTGGGCGATCCTTGGGCGATATTTGGGAGCTCCTGGGCCGTATTGGCCGAAAAAAAGAAATGCCAAACACTTTCAACAACCTGGAGTTTAATGTTTTTGGCCTTCCTGGAGATCCTCTTGGAGGCCTCTCGGGCCGTCTTGGGCCAGCTTCGAGCCAACTTCGGCACTCTTGGTGGGCTCCTGGCCCGTCTGACGCCGTCGGAAGCCGTTTGGGGGGCCTCTCTGGGCCGACTCGGGGCCCTCTTGGGGTGCTTCAGGGCCGTCTTAGAGGCCATCTTGGGCGTCTTGGAAGCCTCTTGGGTCGTCTTTGTGCCCTCTTGGGGCCGTCTTGGGGGCCTCTTGGGCAGTCCTGAGGCCATCTTGGAGGCCTCTTGGGCGCTGTGGGAACGATCTTGGGGGCCTCTTGGGCCGTCTTGGGTCGTCGGAAGCCGAAAAACCTAAGACAATCAATGATTTTGGCCTCTTCGGGCCCTCCTGGAGGGCCTCTCAGAGGCCTCCTGGGCCGTCTTGGAGGCTTCTTGGGCACCTCTTGGGCCGTCTTGGGCCGTCTTGGAGGTTTCTTCGGTGGACTTGGAGGCATCTCCTCCTCTCTTGGGCGGACTTGGAGGCCATCTTGGAGGCCATCTTGGCCGTCTTGGAGGCCTCTTGGGGGCTCTTCTTGGGGCCGTCTTGGGGGCCTCTTGGGCCGTCATGGGGTCATCTTGGAGACCTCGTGGGCGATCTTGGGGCGATCTTGGGGGCCTCTTGGGCCGTCTTGAGCCGTCGGAATTAGAAGAAGCAAAGCCCAAAATCCTTCGAAAACCAAAGGGAAATCAATGATTTTGGCCTCTCCGGGCCTTCCTGGAGGACCTCTCGGAGGCCTTTTGGGCCGTATTGAAGGCCGTCTTGGGCCATGTTGACGCCATCCTGAGGCTATATGAGGCCGTCTTGGGTACATCTTGGGCCGTCTTGGAGGCATCTTGGGGCCATCTTAGCCGTCTTGGAGGCCATCTTGGGCCGTCTTGGAGACGTCTTGGAGATCATCCTGGGCCATCTTGGCCGTCTTGGACGCCATCTTGGGCCAACAGGAGGAAACAGAGGCACGACGGACGTGTTTTGAGATCCTTTCCGGGTGGCCGGCGGGACGGGCCGAAGCCCCAGGGGGAGTTCTTTTGGAAAAAAGAACCAAGACCAAACCCATATAGTTCGGCACGCCAGGCACCCCTGTTGCAAGCAACAGGGGGCGGCGGATCGAAGACGCCTACGGCGAATCACCGCCGCCCCCTGCCTTTGTGGAAGCGCCTATGTGGCCGAACGTTGAGGCCAGACCTGCCAAGCCATCGGACCATGTGTTCCCCGAATCGGTTTGGAAAGCCTTCGGGGAACACGTGGGCGTCTTGAAGGTCATCTTGGCCGTCTTGGAGGCCTCTTGGGCGATCTTTCGGCGATCTTTGGGGGATCTTGGGCCGTCTCGTGCCGTCGGAAGGCCGAAAAGAAAGAAATGTCAAAATCCGTGTAACACCTAAGGACAATCAATGTTTTTGGCCTCTTCTGGCCTTCCTGGAGGCCCTCGTGGGGGCCTCTTGGGTCCTTGTGGGCCAGCTTCGAGCCAACTTCGGCCATCTTGGTGGGTTCCTGGCACGTCTGACGCCGTCGGGAGCCGTCTTGGGGGCCTTCCTGGGCCAACGGGGGACCCTCTTGGGGCGCTTCGGGGCCGTCTTGGAGTCCATCTTGGGCGTCTTGGAGGCCATCTTGGGCGTGTTGGAGGCCTCTTGGGCCGTCTTGGGGCCCTCTTGGGACCGTCTTGGAGGCCACTTGGGCCGTCATGGGGCCCTTGGGGGCCTCTTGGGCGATCTTGGGGGCCTCTTGGGCCGTCTTGAGCCGTCGGAATGCCAAGAAGAAGCAAATTCCAACATCCTTCAAAAACCTAAGGACAATCAATGATTTTGGCCTCTTCGGGCCCTCCTGGAGGACCTCTTGGATGCCTCTTGGGCCGTCTGGGAGGCCTCTCCGTCTTGGACTCTCTTGGGCCGTCTTGGAGGCCGTCTTGGACCATCTTGGGCGTGTTGGAGGCCTCTTGGCCGTCTTGGGGCCCTCTTGGGACCGTCTTGGAGGCCACTTGGGCCGTCATGGGGCCCTTGGGGGCCTCTTGGGCGATCTTGGGGGCCTCTTGGGCCGTCTTGAGCCGTCGGAATGCCAAGAAGAAGCAAATTCCAACATCCTTCAAAAACCTAAGGACAATCAATGATTTTGGCCTCTTCGGGCCCTCCTGGAGGACCTCTTGGATGCCTCTTGGGCCGTCTGGGAGGCCTCTGGGGGGCCTCTTGGGCCGTCTTGGGCCGTCTTGGACTCTCTTGGGCCGTCTTTGAGGCCGTCTTGGACCATCTTGGGCGGACTTGGAGGCCATCTTGGGCCATCTTCGCGATTTGTTGAGGATGTCCCGAGCGAAACGGCCGTTTCTTGGGCTGGAAATTGGGGAATTCTGCGCCTTCCGGGTGGCCGGCGGGACGGGCCGAAACCTATTGGGAGAGTTCTTTCGACAAAAAAAAAACCTAGAGGATTCAGCACGCCAGGCACCCCTGATATGAATCGACAGGGGGCGGCGGATCTGGTGGCATCCGGCCCGTCCTGCCACGGTGCCTGGGCTGCAGGTGTGGGGCTTCGCGTCGTGGTGCCAGCGTCGCAGAGCAGACTTCGTTCGGAGTGTCCTGAGTGTCCTGGAGGATCTCGTTCCGGATTTCGAGGTGAATTTCGTGCGGATTTCTTTGGCCAGGAAGGAAGACCAAACAAGCATCCACGCGACATTCACGTTGTTTGTCGCTCGATTTCGCGGGTTTGGCATTGACAGAAATCATCCACTGCAGCACGTCTGCAAGGTCGGTGCAGTTATTCGTGGACGTTCGCTGGGATCTCGTGCGAGGCCTGAGGCAGTTTTGAGACACGTTTCAGGGCCTCTCGGGGCCTCTTGGGGACTCTTAGGGGCTTCTTGGATCCTATTGAGCGCCTCTTGGGGCCTCTTGGGCTCCTCTTGGAGCCTCCTGGGGCTTTGTTGAAACGGAAGGTTCGAATTTGCGGTTCGTACACTCCACTTCGTCTCTCGGAGTTTGGTGATGGATATAATGCACAAGTCGCCACCCTAGCCATAATATCGGGTTGACCCAAAAGGGGGTCCAGCGACCAGGGAATTGTGCGATATATTTGGTACAATACATTTGTGGGATTGCAATACTTTTGGGGCGTGCAGTACATTTCGGGGCGTAAATGTATTGCTGTATTTCCGCGTGCAATACATCAGAGTGAGGGGGCCGAACGGTCATTCACTGTCCCTGGGTGCGTGGCTGAAGTGGGATTCCGCGGTGCGGATTCTCGTTGTTGTTGTTGTTGTTGTTGTTGTTGTTGTTGTTGGTTGTTGTTGTTGTTGTTGTTGTTGTTGTTGTTGTTGTTGTTGGTTGTTGTTGGTTGTTGTTGGTTGTTGTTGTTGTTGTTGTGATTGTTGTTGTTGTTGTTGTTGTTGTTGTTGTTGTTGTTGGTGTTGTTGCTGCTGCTGCTGCTGTTGTTGTTGGTGGTGGTGTTGTTGTTGTTGCTGTTGGTTGTTGTTGTTGTTGTTGTTGTTGGTGTTGGTGTTGTTGCTGTTGTTGTTGTTGTTGTTGTTGTTGTTGGTGTTGGTGTTGGTGTTGTTGCTGTTGTTGCTGTTGTTGTTGTTGTTGGTGGTGGTGTTGTTGTTGTTGTTGTTGTTGTTGTTGTTGTTGTTGTTGTTTGTTGTTTGTTGTTTGTTGTTTGTTGTT